TTTTACTATTTTAATCTTTTCTTTTTATTTCCTCCCAATTATATGGGAGCTGTTACATGATGAGTAGAAATGTTTTAGTGTATCTGATTCTATTCTAAGAACATCAAATGGAACACGACAATTGAGTTTCTCTGAACCATTTAGGTCTCCAAATGAAACATTACCTGATAGCTTCCAGAGATTAAATCAGGAATTGCTAATTTCTATTTGTATTTATACTTCAAACTATAGAAGACCTATTTGAAAAGTTATATCCAATGACATCCTTTAATTAAATACATGTGCAAAGTGAATTATTAGTTTGCACAAGCAGATTACCCAAATAAATGACTACAGTTGAAGAACAGTATAGATGAGATGGAGCCACCCAAAGAGAGAACTAATTCCACATCTAAAGAGCAAATCACCTCACAGGGTCCCAGCCAATATGTTCCCTAATAGTACCGTTATCAAATAGTGAATTAAGGAATTAACCAAATTACCTACTATTTGACTTCACAACTTTGTTTTCCTTTTGATTCAAGTAAAATGGAAAACAAACAAACAACAATCCTCCTTCAATGTTATCTTCCTCTCATGTGCACCTACTTATTCTAAATGAGCAATAACCACCCGAAATAACTGCGTCCTTTATTTGATTAGTATCTCATACTTGCCACATGCATTTAAAGACTTCTGCTTCCCAAGGGCATGACCTCCACATCTTTATGTCCAAGGAGTAAATTTACATCAAGAGATATGCCTCTAATACTATTGCTAGTGCTGGTCCACATAATAAAAATACAAGTCACTTGAAAAAAATAAGTAAACTAAAACAAATGCTATTGCAACACTTTTATTATATTAGCTAGATTATAATATTAAAAACAATAGGAAAGAATACCTAATATCTCTATTTTCATTTAGAATAAAAGCATAATATGTGTGTGCATGTGTAGGTGTGTAGATTTATTTTGTTTCACTTCCTTCATATGTTTATATACACATATGTGTTTATATATATTTTTATATTCATAGACAAATGTTTCTGAAGGTACGAGCAAGCAGATATATTAAATTGTGTGTATGAATACAAGCTATCCAAAATACACTATACATACTGTGGGGAAACATGAATTATTTTATAGTGGTATGTTGATATTTAATGTTCATAAGTGTATATAATGTATGTATCATGGAAAACAACACAAAAAGTTTTAAAACATGCATACAAGGAACAGGTGAGAGGTGAAAAAGTCCATAGCAAGTTAGAAAATGAAGCATAAAGTGAAGAAATTTGTATGTTAGCTCAAAAATCGATTTTAAAATCAGAAAAAAATTGCTA